ACTATATAATGACACCTGCAACGGTTGACAAAGTCACACTTTATATTTGATTGACATACAACTTTGCCATACTAGTAACAGGACAATTTCAGTGGTTTAATCTGTAAAAACATTCATGTTCTCCTCACGACCTATGTAAGTCCTTATCTTTTCATCTAGAACCATCATTAGTTTATCTAATACTTTGGTTCATGGCTAAATACCTGCAAAACTAATGACATTCCTATCAGCCTCAGCTGTATTTACAGTAGCCTACAGGTATTAGCAAATGTTAGCATGCTAACACACTAAACTGTAGTAACATGTTTAGCATTTAACATTTTACCTACTCCACGGTAGAATGCTACGGAAGAGTATTTCAGGAAATCTGAATTTAGTTCTACCAGGTTGATGTGTTCAGTAGTTATTTCCTTCTTTAATGACAACGATCTAAACAACCGCAAGTTAAAAAAAAGTTGAAGAAGACAATAAAATCCACAATGTCTTGTCATTAAATATATTCATATATAATAACCATAATATATTAGTACACATTGGAAAACACCATTGGTTAAAAAAAAAAAAATGTATGCAGTGGCCCTAATACTCTTCTGTAGAATGCTAACATTGTCGTTGTGAACTTCTTAGCATGCTGATGTTAGCATTTAGTTTAAAGCACCTACTGTGGTCACTGCCAGTGCATTCTCACAAGCTGCTAGCACAGCTATAGACACTCTGCCTTGATTTAAATGAAATGCCATAAATGTAAACTGGGAAAAAAAAAACAAGGAAGATCTTTGACACAAGTATAAAATCCATATAAAACTAATTAAAATACCAATTTTGTCCTTGTCCAGTATTTCATGAAGTATCTAGAATGTGGTTGTAAAGAGGTAATCTCACATGCTGGCACACAAACTGGCATCTAGACCCTGTCTCAATTTTCTCTCCCAAGTTACCACAGGTTAACAAATTAACAAATTGTGTAGATATTTTGAAATGCTTCAAAACATCAAAAGGATATTTTTACACAAGTGTATGTGTGTGAAGAAAGACAGGTCGCTCCATTTCCATTGCACAAGAATTGAGTAACAACTATGCATGACCAAATGCCAGCAGAGGCTTAAAACCATTTAGCTGAAGCAAGCGTCTTCCTTGAAAGACTGTCCACTTTTAGCCTAAGTGTAGGAATCAACTCAAGGAAAATCAGTCCAGTCAGCTAAGTACAGCACTGGAAACTGTCCTAAGCCAGAGTACTACATGGAGTGCCCACGGAGTCTGCAAACACCAAATGTCAACTGACCCCAGCTCCACATGATCCTGACCCATTTCCCTTCAGGAAGGAATCTGTACTTGGTCCTTGTTTAATCCCTGTAATTCATTCATGCTTACATTAATGCTGTGCTGTGTTCCTTGTGTATCAACTAAGCCTGCACAAAAAACTGATCTGTACCATGTCACAGATTCCAGATGTCTGATGAACTAATAGGACAAAACCTCAGCTGAGTAACTGAGAGGAGGAAGTACATGCCTGTTGTCGGAAATGTACTTCCTCTTTTATGCTTTTAGCATGAGTATATTAAACACAACAGTTTCACTATGTTGGAAAGCATTCCAACAGTCATACCTCCTACTGCATACAGTATATACATACACTTAGCAGGGCACAGAGAAACCATGCTTCAACATTCTCCTTGCTGGATGTGTGCATTTGCGTAGTGTCCCGCTCTCCCCTCTTTCACTTTCACTCCATCCCACCCACCTGCCGAGATCTGTCCAATGCTTCTCATTTGACTCATTTGATTGATTTCCATGTTCATTACGCAATTATTGCTCATCACTCACAGTTGACAGAATAGGACGTGCTAATGGTAGTTATAGACACTGGTGTTTGGTGCCATATTTTGAGCTTATGGCAATTGTGAGATGAGATATTAAGGCACTCACCAAGGGCTATTATCAGGGGACAGAGAGCATCTAACAAGTAAAGGTGTTTTTATTGGTTTGCAGCAGGTTTTAAAAGGAAAAGTGATATGTTTGGATGATCCAGCCCCTCCTAATACGTTTAATGATTTCTACTGCAAACGGGCTGGTTGACCTGCTCCTGCAGCCTCTTATTAAAGAGGAACAGCTGGCTCATCAAAGACTACATCTCTGTAGGCACTCAGGAGGTTCGGCTCCTCAAGGAACGCTATTGCATGGTCCAGTTCTGTACAACCATTAATGAAAGCACACTAGCAGTTTGGTTTGGTAGTCTGACCTTTGCTGATATCTATACATTTGAGAAAGCAATTAAGACTGCATTCAAAAATTATTGGTTCCCCACTCCCTTCAGTATTTTCAATTTATAAAGTTCGGCTCCACCAGAAAGCTGGAAACATCATCATCATTGATGACTTGCACTCAGCAGCTTCCCTCCTTCAGGTGATGCCTTCTGGTAGGAGGTTTAGACAGCTGAGACATGAATCTGAGTGTTTTAATGTGCCCTAAGACATGAGCACATTAAAACAGGTTGCTGAATAGTAAATCTTAGGCACTTTATACTCTTAAAACTTTTTTATTTGGGTTTAGGTTATTCTTTTTTTAAAGGTCTTATTTATTAACTGTCAATGTAGATCACATTTTGATTATGTGTGGTTGTTAGTTGTTTTATTTATTTTATTTTATTTTTTATTCTTTGTATGTTACAAACCTGGTGAATAAAGTAATGGTATTGTATGTCTCCATGTGTTAGCCCTGTGATGGACTGTGACCTGTACAGGATGCACCCTGCCTCCTGGCAAGTGCATGCTTGGATAGCACCAGGTTCTGGATGGATGTGCGCATGGAGTCATTGTTTGCCTTAGACAAAAGAGAAATAATATACCTAGTTTATACAAAGCTACTATTGTGTAATAAAAGGTCACTGCTCCACCTCTCTGTCTCTTTTACTGGACAAATAGTATTAGTTTACTACTGTGCCACACACACTCAGGCCCAGGCTGTTATAAATATCATAAAAATGATAGTGGCAAATTAAACAGGCACAAAGATCTTATGTACTTGGGCCTTTTTATTTACTGAGCCCTAAGCATGCCTTACATGTGCTTTGCTCCATCTTGATCATGCAGGTCCTCAGTGTGTACACAGTTCTAACAAGTGGACACGATCTTTTTCTCAGAGGTTAAAGGACAAAGCCAAGTTAAATTGATTATGATCCGTTTCAGTCAGTGAACTGAATTAATACTTGCAGACATCAGTTTTCATACTTGGTTTATCTGTGACTTCATGGAGCAGACTTCAGTTGAGACAATATTGGCCTAGTTCAGAGATGCTTGAAGGTGAGTCATTGGACAAAGTTTCACGAATAATGGCCAAACAAAGAATTTAGTCCATCAGCTTCGGGTGTCGCCCTAATTTGTCTAAACAAAAACTTAATTATGTTCACTCTAGGGACATGTATTTTTTGTAGCTGCAGTCCCATTTACTATTTCCTATATTCAGTTTTGGTTGTACTTTCTAGAGGATTTGGTTATAGTTAAGTAAAGCACATTTACATACATTTAAATTTGACTTCTATATAATCTTTTTTGTAGTACATTTATTACACAAATATAATTTATAAAGAAGTACAATATTTACATTTATTTATGGCAGGTTCAGAAAGATGTTATTGTCTCCTCATGCTAACAGCCTTGAAACTTTGATTTTTCAGTATCTTATAATCTAGGTGTCAAAAACAGGAACAGGAAAGGAGGTTGTGTTAACTGATCTTCATGCAGCCTTTGCCTGTTACCCAGCCCCACCCCCGACCTTCCATCCTGAGCACAGTCAAGCATGGAGATGGAGTGAGGGGATGGCGGTTAACAACATCTGCTTCTGACACATCCCACGACCAAGCCTTTGGTTCAGGCACTGAAATGGTATTAACTCAGGAAAACAGCACTAACTGTATTGCACAAATAAAAAGGAAATGAAAAGAACTTCCAGTTTTAAATAAGCTCAGCATTTATTTTTTAACTTGTCATCATCTGTCAAACACCATACACCATAATGTAGAAACTATAAAGTCTGTTTTCTTTTCACTATGTTGCAAGTTCCATATTTGCACAGGATCTGGTAAAAGAATACGCCCGAACTTCTCTAAAACAATGATGCTATGATGGCTCATTTTTAATAAGTGAAAGGGTGGCTACTAGGATTTTATATCCTCTGTATATGTATGTTCTTGTGCAAAGTCTCTGCATCCTCTACCTGTTAGCACAGGGCAATGCATGTGATATGCTCCATTAAAGCCATCAGATGTGTTATATTGAAGCCCCTATGATTTAGCTGTGCACTCTCCTCTTTGGCTGCGTATGCACTGGTTTCAGTAAAGAGCACTGTTAAAAACAAAACCAACAGAGAGTTGGTTGTTCCTTCTCCCTTTCACTGCAGCAACTGAGTGCACTGCAGAAGAGGATTTTGCTCTCTCTTTCCCACAGCGTTCAGATTGAGTTGTCTCTTTCTCTCCAAATTCGCAGTGTTTTCCCTAGCAGGTTGTACAATGTAAATAATTCAGAATGCAAGCAAAACTGACTACATACAGTATCTGCATAGAGATTAAGTGCTGTACAGTTTCACCTACTGTTCTGTGAACAGGTTCAACACTTTTCACAACTACAAATTATAGCAACACATCACTGAGAATTGCCTCACCCTCACTTCCTTTGCACAGAAAGTTAAATGCATATCAAAGGACGGGGCTGATACATCATAGTTTCACTTCCTCAACAGTCTTAAATGGTAGCAAGTGTATTCTTGAAGGTGTGAGTGACATATGCATCATGCTAGGAAGCCATAGCAAAGCTGAAGAATTACGTTTACAGGAAATGATAGTCTTTTGACTTATTAAACAGAATCAGAGTCAGAGTTGTTTTAGACTCCATAGAGACAATGTGAAGTGTGTGTTGAAACTGTCAGATAAAACTGGTTCTGAAACTATAAGCCTGGTAAGGTAAAGGTACGTTATGTTAAAAAAAGCAGTGTGGCCATTTAGTGACCAATACTGAAGGACTTATCAGAGACTGTTTTGAAATCCAGATTCCTGCCTGAAAAAGAGCAACACAGAGCAGGTGAAGGGGCTGCACAGCTTAGCGATGAAAACTCATGTTCTTCCCTTTTCCAGCAGCAAAGACACATACGGTATACCTGACCTCAGGTTTCACGTAGATGGGAGGGAATGGGTTGAGTGGCTGGGAGAGGGGAGCTTTAAGTGGTCACACTGGTGGTCAGCTAAAAGAATCTGCATTTCTGGCCACACAAGCATTTTAATTTTCACTGCCACACTACAGGAATGTGGCTACAGGCCTTGGTAGCTCTGAAATATGCAGCAGGACAACATCTTTAGAGCACATTTGTGAGGTGGAAGCTGATGAAGTGGGAAAGATGAGAGGCAGGGTCACGAGGTCATAATCTGAGTTTAGGTTCAGAGAAGATGACTGACAATAGAGCCTTTGATAGCAAAGACCCTGCGCCAGGTGAACGAGGCGGCACAGCTCAAGCCTTTAAATTCTTACTGGCTTGGCTCAGCATAACTGTAGTGTGAAAAGGGTTGCTACACATTGAGAGCCGCTGTACTAGAGTTGGCCTCCTTGGCATCAGAAAGGATATTATACAGAGACTGTCCACTGTTGATCACATTTGGTTTTTATTCAACGTTTTAAAACAAGCTCAAAGCCCAATCATTTCCAGAATTTGTACAAAGTTCCACAATCACTTTAAACTTTGAAATTGATCAACTTTTAAAAGTTCAGGGGTCATCAGTCCCAATGATGACTGCGCCACAGGCCATCGTTTGATAAAGATTGTCCATGAAGGATCCCCCCTGCAAAAAACTGGAGCAACAGGGCGTGTCACCAGAAAATAGACCATGCTCTGTGCCATGGTAGAGTGCACATCAAAACCATATCCCCAAAATTAAAACCGAACACTTTCGTTTATAAAGCTGCAATAGACTCCTGCTGCGCCCTGTCTCCGGCTGTGTCCGGTCACTGGCACCAACCGTGGAGGAGGGGGGCAGCCAGCGCCAGCGGCCGGGG